CGAGGCGAAAGTACATTAAACCAGAATTAAAGACATTTCGTTTCGTTGTGCAAGTGATGCGTATGCTCAGCTATTGCTAGTTCGGTTAAATTTGATGTTCAGCAATATTTTTATGCATGAATACTGTAAGCGCAGAAGTGGTTATTCATCATATCAACAAGAAAAACTCAAAAAAAGAAAAGCAAGTTTCAAATCCAACAGACACATTAAGTGTAAAATTACCCCATTACGATCGGTTCCCTGTTTTCCGTCTTCTTGTGGTAAGCAGTATGGACAAATTGTGTTGAGATTTTGGTCGTCAACCTTAATACCGTGGTTTATGTGAATACTTCAAAGAAAAAAACAATCGAGTTTAACTTCATTTCCACTCACCTTCCACCCCGACATAATCTCCTCATCATATATCATCATTCTACAGTTTGGACATGGAGTACATGATGAGAGAGTCACATCGACGATACCCGAGCTGGGGGAAGGGAGATCTTTCACTTCCTCTTTTTCCATTTTACGCATTTCATTACGGCGGAGTTGTAAATAAACCTTAAATATTCACATAAGAGAACACCGGGTGAAAGTCTCACTGTCCCAACCTCTTTGAGCCACCAATCATCACTTAAAATAGAGTCCGCTTTGCCACAATCAAGTTGGTACGCATTGTCCTCTTCATCTATATCCACTGCTTCATCGTCCTGTCAAAAAGAGCAAATTCAATAAGTTATCGTAATACATCCTTGTTGAAAAAGAACAATGCAGCTGTATGATTGGAAATTGACAAACAGCAAAATTCTAAATTATTTGTTCTTGAAAAACATTCGGAATCTAGAAAGTATGAAAAGGCCAGAACGATGCCATTTCACGTCAAGTTAACAAACTCTGATATTGTTCTGTCTCGGAGTCTCATGCTAATCTGAAGGTGTAAAAACAATATGAGGCTACACAATATAAAGGCTGTCTTTTCGATTTTTGACAGTTAACGTTTTAATGACTTTAAAAAAAAGAAAACACATGAGGAAGCAGGGTAATCTCGGCGGTCAATGTATCCGGATTCTACAGCACAGATCTACCGCCCAAATAATGCAGCGCGGCAGTAGCTCGTAACGTATAATTCCTTAGCAGTCTCAGCAAAAAAGATCATAACTTTCAGAGGGTGAACACCTGCCTTCTGTTGCGGCTCAGGCTGGTCACCCTTGTCAACTTAATGTTGGCGCGGTTCGATGTTGACCTAGAGACACTACTCATCCTCTGTGACGATAGACTTCAGACATCGACAGCCAGCCATCCATGGGCCTCTACGAGAGCTATTCCTTAGCCACCTCGGCACCTTACTGAGGATCACGCGGTCAACACTAGGGGTACGCACTGAGCCAGTTGTGCTCTTTCTCCATACGACTTGGACGACGGCGATGCCGAAAGAAACACCTGAGACTCATGCGAGTTCAGCACAGTTTGCATGGGTATGCCGACACACCTTATCCGAACTATCATTGCCGACTTCGAGTCGACGTACCGATCAGGCGAAAATTGCAAGGTTGGAGCCTCCCTCGCAGGAATGTTTAGACGAACCTTGTTTAATACATTCAGATACCTCACGTCCACTGCATAAATATTTATAAATAAATACTAAGTCTGAAATAGGCTGCTGATTCGCCAAATAAGAGCCGTATAGTAATAGGTCGTGGAAGTACTGTTGGGAAAGTTGCAATTGCAATTGAAACGATAATCTAGGGTCAATGGCTGTTAGTCATGCTAAACTTCCACACACCTTTGAGGGACCACGAGAACAGGTGAAGAGCTAGACAGTTTGCGAGTGAATTGTATCATGGAAGCAATGACCATGGGCTGGACACTCGTCAACCTGGTAAATGGAAACGATGGACTGGCAGGGCTACAGAAAGGAATCAGCGAGGCGCATACAACCGTTTGGGGCGACGCGAAAGCCGAGATGAGTTGGACCGATGGATGCAGGGACATGCCCAACAATGGATGAGAGCAGCGAGAGATTAGCAACGTTGAAAAGGTTCCGATTTGCAAGCATGGAAGAATGTAAGAAGACAAATAGCGCAAAAGGTATAAGTAATTTTCAGGCTGGCACGAAATAGAACTGCTTACTCGGGTACACTAATTCAAAAATTGTCCTTTTTGTTCACATGGAAGCCTTATGGTGGAACAAATGTATAAACGTGCGTTTTACATAAAAATGCTTCGAAGACATCAAACCACCAAAAATAATCAGCAAAACAAGAAAAGCCACAAGCTAAAACAACCAGCGGATAAATCCGAATAAACCAGTACTCTAGCATGAAGATTTATAGATAACAAAAAGTTGTCGAACGTTGAACATACCGAGTCATCACCAAAGAGTGTGCCACTACCACGTTCACGATAGGAGCGGTTGAGACTTTTAACCTCGCGCACCAGTGAGGAAACTCCCAATTTCAGTTTGGATGAGACAGCTGGAAAACCTAGTGATAACAAAAAAACTTACTTTTATGTGTAAAGAAGCAAGAAAATTAGAGAGCTTTCTAGATGTTTTCAGTGCAGACGAACTGAAGTAATAGAAATTCAAATCATACAGGACTTACCGTCCATGCGAACGTCGTCATACCCTTTCCATACTTGATTGACAATAGCATGGAGACTTGGGCTCACTGTCATTCCTTGTGCTTCCGTATCTGGAGGCTTTGGACTTTCTATAAACAACGCGAAACTTCTAAGGCAGTGTTCTCGACGTCGAAGAAAAGTCTCATGGTGTGTTGGTTATAGGGCGCACGCATAGTCGGTCGTCCGACAGCAACGATCGCAACTGTCTGACTGTCTAACTGCATCTAATCGTCGAATACTCAGGCAAGTCCGACGATCGATACGCATCCAATGCTGTGCGACAGTTACGATCGTTGCTGTCGTCCGACCGACTATGCGTGCGCCCTTCGTGGCGCCCGGTCCCCTCCACCACCC